GGCCGGACGGCGCTGCTGGCCGCTTTGGGGGGTCCGTTCTGGCCCACGGCCTGTTCACGTTTCTTTCTGAGCGCAGTGTCATCCCTGGAGCTCATCTCGAGACTTACCATAATCAGAGTGAAAACTGTCGTCAGGCATGATTCAGGGGTGACACTAGAAAAAATCTGAAATGGGGAAAACCTGGCCCAGGGCGAGGCTGGCGGCGGAGAGGGAGAAATAAGGGTGTTCCTGCTCCTGCAAAGGCTATTCGGAGGGTTAATTCTTAATCTAAAACGGAGGCCAGATGCAGCCAGGGCGAGAGGCCTGACTTGGGCTGCATCCTCTGCTTATTAAGGGGAGTGGAGGAGCTCTTAGAGAAGGAAGAGCAAATTGTATACAATCTAACTCCTTTCCTGGTTAGTAACAGCAACTGTTGCAGGAAACAAAGTCTAGCCAACTTTCTCCTTAACTGCTACTGTTGGATTGGGTGAGGCTGCACCTTACGCGTGTGCACGTGCCCTCCTTTATTTTTTTAACTTACCTGGTCTTGTTTCTGGTTAAGGTCCTCTAAACGCTGTTGTGTTTTGGAATCATGACATCCATAGCTGGAAGGTAAAACAATGGTCCCAAGACTTTAAAAGCAAAACCAAGAACTAGAACTGAGTTACTGTCCAGAACACTGAAAAATAAACTGAGGGGTTGCAGTCCTGACCCAAGCCTCGCACAAACAGGGCCTGAGGCCTGTGGTTTTGTGCCGTGAGTTTAAGCATGGGCTCAGGACATGCTTAAACTCCAATTACTGAAGAGGGTGGGTAGGATGGGCACTGGGTGGACCAGAAGCCTATTTTCCTCACAGTTTGCCTTCCATCACCTAATCCTACTGTATTGAATATGAGGTTTTAAATGTTTTATGTAAAAGTTTGAGAGCCCACACAGTAGCCATTGAAAGGAAAGCAAACAAACAAAACACACACACACACACACACAAAGGAAAGAAAGTTGAAGTCAAGGATTTCTCCTTCCTTTTAGATAACTTTGCTTTCATAATAAAAACAGGTTGTTTAGATTTGGGAGATCTTTTGGGAATTAGAGACAATTGCTTAATGATATTTGTCTCTGAGGTCTGTCACTACCTACCAATCTATATATACATATACTTATGAAATTTCAAACATGCTGAAGGTCAAATGGATTCATTTGCTTAACAGTTATTGAATGCTACTATGTTCCAGGTCCTGAAGATTCAACAGACAATAAACCACCAAAAAAAATTAAAAATGCTGTTCTCCGGGAGTGCACATTCATTCTATTGGGAACGACAGACTGTGTAGGTGACTAGGCAATATGCAGTGTTCATGTTATGATCAGGGCTGCAAAGAACAGTGAAGAAGAGATAGGGGCTTTGGAAGTGGGGAGCTGCAGTGTTGAGGTGGTTAGGGAAGACCACAATGGAAGGAAGCATTCAGCCAAAATTTTAAAGCGGTGATGTGGCCAGCCTTTATGCCATCTGGTTTATAGCACTGCTGTCAGTGGAAAAAGCATGGCTAAAGGCCCTGGGGCATGCCTGGATGTCCATGTTCACAGCACAGCAAGGCGGCCAGAGTGGACTGAGGATAGTAATAAGTAAGGTCAAAGGGGTAAGGGAAGTATTTTGAAAAGTGACATCATCCGACTGAAATTTTAAAAAGGAGTACCCTTGCAACGTTTTTGAGAATACACTGGGGGTGGGGGTTGAGATCGCAGAGGCAGAAATGATTAGGAGGGTCTAACAAAATCTGGATGAGAGATAAAAGTGGCTTGACCAGATTAGTAGTTGTGAAGATAACCAGGTTTTTAAAATATATTCTGAGGGTACTATCAACAGGATCTCCCAAGGATCTGATGCGGGGTGTGAGGGAGGAAAAAAGAAATGAAGAATGACTTCAGGGTGTTTGCCATGAGCAGCTGGAAGGAGAGAGTCGCCATGTACTAAGAGGAGGACTGAGCTTTTCTCCATGAGAGGTGGTGTGTGTACCTCTTGTCGTGGTCGCGAGCTCAGCCCCTGCTGCTCTCAAGGCCTTTTCACTGTGGTGGTTATCCTGTTTGAGAATCCCCCCCCCAAATCAACACATGGCTTTTATTGCATCTTTAAAATATCACAAATAAATGTGGCAAGTCATTTGACAACTTGCTGTTTCTCTAGCTGGACAACTTGGATCTTACCCACCAGCCTGCTGAGTGTTCCTTTTTCAGAAACATAGGGACTGTCCCCAACTTTTATGAAGTTTGGCTGAGTGTCTTAACTGCACTGTGAGAATGAATCTTTCATGATGGACCTTGTCTTGGATGTAAACATTCAGATTTACCCTGTAGACTTAGGTGACAAGTTCCAGTTGGTCATAGCCAGTACCTTGTGTGAAGATAGAAGCCTGGATGATGCTAATAGAGGGTGTGAGAGTAGTAAGATAGAAAGTGCCTAGTTTCTTGATGATCTTGGAACCAGCATACCGGCCGAGGAATGCCTCCTTGGACTTTTATCAAAAGAAATGCATTTATGCCCTGGCAGGTGTGGCTCAGTGGTAAAGCATTGGCCCAAAGTTGTCCAGGGTTCGATTCCCAGTCAAGGGCATGTACCTGGGTTGCAGATTCGTTCCCCAGCCTGGGTTCGGGCAAGTGCAAGGCAACTAATCAATTGTGTCTCTCACATCAATGTTTCTCTCCCCCCCCACTCCCTCCCTTCCGCTCTCTCTAATCATCAGTGGAAAAAATATCCTCAGGTGAGGATTAACAAAAAAAAAAAAAGGAAAGATGAAAGAAAATGCATTTATATTTTATTTAAGTGACCTTGGGTAATCAGATAATCCTAATCCTAATTCATAAAAACTGCTCCCATTGGGCAGGTGTTTTTAGGTTTATCATAATTCCCACCACTACCTAATGTTGACTGGGAGTTGCCAGTTATCATCCTATCATAGTTTTTCTTTACATCAAAAATGAAAAAATGAAAGACAGACATAGCCATGTGTTTCAGGAGAAGTGGAGGAGCCTATGTCATTGTGGAAGAGGCTATTCCTACATGACTAATACTGCACAGCCACTCTTAGTGCACATCGTACTAAATGTACTTGACTTAAGAAGCTATTATGAAAGTAGCCACAGTAAGAATTATGACTAGAATAGCAAAGACACATAATGATAAATTAACTAAATGAAAAACTTAATGGACTGAAAACAAGGACTGGAATTACAGCAGTGGTAATGTTGTAAAATGTGTTAAGTAAAATTTTTCTTGGCATGAAAACCTTTTGCCAATGATGGGATTACAAAAAGGTTGATTGCAGCAGATATTGTTTCCTGAACAGAGACTAACATTTTCAGATCTGAGTATCAACAGGTATAATATTCCTTAACATGCTGAAGCTAGGCCGAAGGGGCTTACAGCACAAAATTGCATGAAATGGTTAAATCATTTATATTCTCCCCTCCCCCAGCCAATGAGAGTACACATATAAAATATATAAACACCACTCAATTAACTATAGTCATCTGTAGCGTCCAAAAGGTTTTAAGTGTTTGTATAGCTTTTGGAGATCGTGCTGGTAATGGGCATATCAGGAAATTATTTGTGTGCGGAGTAAACAGGACTGCAGGAGGTGATCCAGCAAGTTGGTACTGACGCTGGACTTGTTTTACAAAACTTAAACCCATGGTTGCAGTTTGCACAAGTCACACAACATGTTTACTTCATAATTCAATGGGAATCATATTTAATTTAAAAAAGAGAACGTCATGAATGCAGTAAAATGTGAAATGGATGTACTACCATGGTTTGAACCACAGGAGACATGTCAACAGATGTGGTGCCAGGTCAAAGAGATTTTTTTGGATGGATATAGGAAATTGGTTTGTGCATATATAATATATATAAAAACACTAAAACAGTACAATTGAAAGAGTTAACTCAATTCTCAAAGACCTATTAAGGACTATTATTTCCTCATTCTGGCTCAACTTCAACAGTTGGGCTAAAGTATTTTCTATATTTACATAGAAACTATACAGAGCAACACAATGGATGGGATGATGGAGTGAGGGGAAGCTAGGCAGTGGGAGCCACCTGAGAAGCAGCGCTCCAGTTGTCTGAACAGGAAGGTGTTAACGGGCTAATTTTGTGCTGTGGCCAACTCCAACCACAAACAATGAGATGAACAAAAGAGAAGCCACTTGAGCCAAACATTTTTTGTCTTCAACAGTTGACCATCAGTGAATGCCAAGGAAACAAAGCCACTGGCCAGGCCTAAGGTTGCAGCCCTATTAAATAACCATTGGCAGGATGTCAAGGAATAAAAAAAGAAAGAAAGGAAAAAGAGGAGCTTGAGGAGCTTGGTCTTAAACATTGCCTAACTTGTATTTTTAGTGACAAGTAACAAACCAGGTTAGGATTCTAACATTCATTTCTTTGCAAGCCCTGAGAAAGCACAGCCTAGGAGAGCTATACTAACCCATGACCACGAAGTTTCTGAGCACCCCATGGGATAACAGGAGTGGGTTAGACAGGAGAACACAAGGCATCTGTAGATTCCTACACACAGAAAATTAAGAGAGGTCACAACAGGGTTGTTGATAAATATATTTCCTTTAGCTTTTTCTACTTTTACATTGCCCACTTAAAAAAAAATGTAAAAAATAAAAATAGAAAACAACTAGATCACAGTAAAAGAAGTGTACTTCCTGTATTTGAACTGTTTTCTTAATTAATTGTAAAGAAAAGGCTTGGTAGAAAGTATAAAAGCATCTATGATGCTATTTTCAGCCTTACTGTTAAACAGGCTTAGGGCTATGTTAATAAAACATGTGCATTTATTGTTTATATATATGTATGTTTTGTACTTCTCACCTGAGGATATTTTTTCCATTGCTTTTCAGAGTGTGGATCAGAGGGAGAGAGGGGGGAGGAGAGAGAGAATCGATGTGAGAGAGACACATCTCTCACATCAACTGGCTTGCTCCAGCACCTACCCTGACTGGAGAGGGGGAGAGG